CGGCGATGGCCTCGGTTTCATGTATGGTCACCCGAATCCAGCATACGTGGTCGGCAGGATCGATGGTGGCGACGGCTACTTTTTCCGTGCAGGCGACTTCCTTGGTGCCCAGCTGGTACACGGTCACGGGGACGTGCGTGTGGACCACTTTGGGCGCCTTGGGGTGACGCTTCAGCACGGGGACGGCGAGCTCGGTACCGACGTAGTTATCGTTTTTTGGGCCCATGACAGCAATCGCAAGCTGACCCGTGGTACGCTTACCCTGCTCGAGGTGGTGTTGCAGCAGCCGTTCACCGCTCTCGTAGTCATGAAGGCTGATACTGGGCTTGTACGTCTTGCCGTCGTCCAGTGATGTGGGTTCGGCCAGGACTGGGACCTTCCAGAAGGCCGGGTCCAAGGCAATGAATTGGGCGTCCGCAGCCTGAAGACGTGCGGACGCAGCTGGTGGGTGTGATGTGTCACCACCAATGCGCTTAGGCTTGCTGCGCTGGTGGTGATCCAGCGTGTAGCTGATCTGGTTGGCGGCACACATGCGGATCAAGGCACTGCCGAGCTTCTTTGTGTTGGTCTTGTGCATGTCGTACGTGGCCTGCAGCTCGTCCGCGTTCAGCTCGGCGAGCCCGTTGTATGCGGCCGTGGGGCGGTCAGACCCCGCTTGCTTGAAAGCTGCAATGCAGTCCTGCTTGCGTTGGAGGAGAGACCCTTCAGCAGCAGGACGTGAGCTCGGCGGCTGCTTGGAAGAGCGACGGCGCTCCGGCTTGGCGGGGGCCATTGCGGCGGGCGCTCTGGTGGGGAGGAAGAGGTGACGCGAATCAGTAGGGTCCTGCTGGGACCCCTCCGGTCTCGCGAGGCCTGGGAGACTGACTCCGAGGCGGGGCGCTTCGCGTCGCGGCTGCGGTCTGAGTGCAGGGCACTCTCGAGCCGAGACTAGAGAGAAAGAGAGAGAGAGAGAGAGAGAGAGAGAGAGAGAAAGAGAGAGAGAGAGAGAGAGAGAGAAAAAGAGAGAGATATAGTTCGGCTGGGATTTCTCTGAATGGAAAACAGAGAGAAAAAGAAAAGCTGCATCGCAAAAGTGAACAACGGCCTGACGGACAAAGCGTGGACACTGCGCCACAAAGACGAGAAAATCGGCGTGACAGCACTCGGCAAGCATTTCAAGAAAGGCAACGCTGACGCAGAAAATGACGAGGCCATCGAGGCCGCGCTGGACGCGATACTCAAGACGGCACGGAGTCACTGCGGGAAGGTGGCCCCCCGACAGAAGCACAATGCGTTTTTGGATTTTTCCAGGCGCGGGCGCCGCAGACCCAACGAGCCGATCAAAGATTTCATCCAGCGACGAGCTCAAGCATGCGGGAAGCTACGAGACCTGACCCGAGGAGGCACGCAGGTTTCGGAGGACTTCAGGACCTTCTTCCAGCTCGACATGAGTGGCATCACCGAGACGCAGCACATGACGTTTCTGGGCCAGGCGCAGAACGAGTGCGACTAGGACGCCATTCGCGAGGTCCGGGAGATCCAGGTCGACAACCTGGGCGCGCGAGGCGGACATCCGCGACGCGAAGGAGGACGCAAGTTCCGGTGGAACTCAGCCTTCGGAGCAATCCCAGAAGGCGACGAAGACGACGGGGACGAAGGCAACTGCAGTGGAGACGAGGACGGCGACACGGAGGACGGAGACGAGATGGACATCCTTTCAGCAGGAATGGAGGAGATCCAGACAGCCATGCCGGTGGTCGACGTCAACGACATGAGCGAGGAGGAGATTTCAACCTTCGCGGCAGAGGATCAGACGGTCGTGGGCGCGATTGCGGCAAGGGGCCGTGGCAAGGGCAAGGCAGGATTTTCAGGACCCGACTACACCAAGCAGCGCCAGTTCATCATGGGCGGCAAGGCGAACAGAGGCTTCAAGCAGGGCAATGCCTACATCGACTTTGACGGCAATATCAGCTGCGGCACGAAGGATCTTCAAGACCGACTTGGAGTTTTCCAGAAGGCTAGCAAGTGCGGCGCGTGCGGCGAGAAGGGGCGCTGGGCCGGAGATCCAGAGTGCAGCAAGACCATGGCCGGCCGGCACGGGCGGCGCCTTCGGCGTGGCCAAAGGACGCGGACAGGAAAAGGACGTGCTGGAGGTTTTCTGGCTCGCATTGGCCTGGCCGGAGCCATGCTAGCGACCAGAGTCGGCTTCCCGATGGAGAGCTACATGATCAACCCGACCGAGGTGACCAACAACGTCAGCAGCGTGCCGAACACCATGATCGACACGATGGTGGCTGACCATGCGGCACCACCGGGCTACGTGGCACTGGACAAGGCAGCTCTGGCGCCATGCGCCGGAGATCGAGCGACCGACAACCAACTGGAGAAGTTCAACTAGGCCGACATGCAGATGCCAACCAAAAGCGTGTTCAAGGGAACCAACACGGCGGCGCCAGTGCAAGCAGAAAGCACACGGGCAGTGCCAAGCGGCATCCAAGGCAGGGGGACCGCACGCTCATCTTCGAGAGGCTACCCGACTCGGACGCCCTCATGCTCATGAGCGTCGATCAGTTGGACGCCCTAGACACGGTCGTCAGGGTCATGGGCAACCAGGTGACATTCAAGAAGCTATCGGACCAGCCTGCGAAGATTCCCATTCTCGAGGAAGAACCACCTGATGATCAAAATCACGGACTTCCCCAGGGAGACACAACGAGCTGAAGCACCGACCGTCAGCGCCAAGACGCTCGATGTGTGGACTGCTGAAGAAGAAGCTCAGTTTCCTCAAGGCGACCGACCCATCCAGTCGGAGGCGGCCGCGGACACCGGCATCATGACGAAATCCTGGAAGAAGCAGGTAGTCGCATGGATCGCAGAACAAGGGCGCGAGCAGCGGGCTACATGGAGTGTCTCGCGGACCGATGCTCATCGGCGACGCGTGCCCGGGACAGTCGTGAAGAATGTTCACGGCGGAGAGTGCAACGTAACGAAGATGGCAACGAGTGGCGGACTCAAGACGGGTCAAGGCAAGGACCCGCGCACCACCGGCGACAACCTGCCACTACCAAGCGTGCAAGCCGCAACCATGAGGGAGCTAGAGGAGGAGGGCCCGCGCCTCACCATCGCCACGTTCCCGCGCGACGGCCTCTCCCCCATCGACAACTTCTACCCGCCGAAGGAACGTCGGAGACGCCGGACAAAAGCATTTGCACATGTACAATTTGCCGTTCAAGTGGTCAAGTTTTCGACTGGAGCAGAAACGACATGTACAATTGGAGAACCTTCTATGCTCGCAGGAATGGACGATGATACTGCAGGCTCTACCTAAAGATATGCTGATATGGTTTCGTTGTGGCCAGCGTGCTCTTGGCCTACAAGACGACAACGGAGATTTGCTGCTCAAGCCTACGAGGCTTGTTACCTCAGCAGTGGCATTGGCATATGCACTGGAGGTTCGATGCTCTCAAGATCATTGGCATGGAGAGTTCAAGGTCGAGGCGGCAAGTCAAGCGACTATGCAGTATGGACACCCGACCTGGCAGAGTGAATCTTGGGGGGCACGAAGCATCAGTACGGGTTGGAGAAGCTGTTTGGAGGTTCGACCATCTTCGGAGTTCCCATCATTACTGACGCGTACCCCGCCACAGGCTTCACGTAAAGCTCAGGACTCATCGCGGGCTCGAGCGCGGAGACCTACAACGATTGGCAGCAGGCACCGACATGAAGACAGCGACCAAGAAGCTGCTTGTTCAGTTTTCTCATGCACTACGAGGCGAAGAGCTCCCGAGGCACATCCAGAACGGCGGAGGCTCACCAGCGGCGACTTCGGCAGCAAAGATCTTCAAGGGCGAGCTATGCGACGCTCTGCAACGACCGCCATCACATCCGATCACCAACCTACCGAATTGGACCAAGTTCAATCAATGCCTTGGCATGGACATCGCCTACGTGCCTGTCCTTTACGGAACCATGCACGCGCCTTTGCTCATGCTAGACCTGTCTGCCGACTTCACCGCCATTCAGTGGATGATTAGCGGTGGAGATCGCAAGCCAATCCCCATGTCAAACCATGCCAAGGTTGCGTTCGTGGAGGGCCGGCAGCGCAATTTGATGACGCCGCGGAATCTTCACATCGACCCAGACGCAGCTTTTCGTCTGGAGTTCGAGGCTATGTGCGAGGACCTTGGAATTCCATGCTTTCGAGTGGCACCAGAAGAACGCCAGCTGCATGGAAAGTTGGAGAGGAAGATCAGGTTCTTCAAGGAGATGGCTACAAAGGTGTTTCACGAGCTCGAGGCGAGAGACGACGGGGGCAAATATTGCTGGATATCATATCGCCCAGACCATCAACCGACTCTCTAACAACAAGGGCTTCTCTCCATCTCAACGGGCTCTTGGCGAAAATCCATTTACACCAGCATCATTTGGAGATCTCAACGCCGACCCGGTGATCGCAGGACAAGTAGCACGCGGATCTCTCACGTGGCACCGATCACAATTACAGGGAACATGTGAGATCGCAGTCCACCAGGCAGCCAACAGCTCAGCTCTACGACGAGCGGTGCTATCGAATACCCGACCTCAGCCTGGGCCTTGCGAGCGTGGCGAGCGGGCCCACTATTGGCGGACAGGTGGAGGCAAGCGAGATCTGCATCGGGAATGGCATGGGCCAGCTCGAGTTATTGGATGTGATCAGTGTGGCTACTGGCTGACTCACAACGGGATGCCCATCCTAGCAGGACCGAACATCCTACGGAGATCTACGCTCAACGAGTTCGAGGACCGCGTGCCCGTCGATCAACGAGAATGGCAGGGGGCACCGCGTGGACGGCGCGGCTTTGTGGACCTTCGGAACACCGCGTTTACCGCGCCAAGGGAGCCGCTACAACATGGACTACAACCTCAGCCACCACCTGCGCCTGCGCAGCCACCAGAACCCCCATGCGCAGCATATGGGCTGAGTTCTAGCTCGTGACGGAGATGATGAAGATCAACCACTGGCTCGGCGGCGGCGCGTGCAGGTGGAGCGGCCAGATGGCTCGTGCAACATGCCGGAGTCATGGCCCCTGACCGTCGGCACTGAGTCCCGCGGCCTTCGCGACGCCATTCTAGCTACACGGATTGCAAGATGTGCGACGACGACAGTTCCAGGAGAGGATGTCATCCCGCTGGACAAGCTACTGAGACGACGCATATCTTAACTGCATCACCAAGGCTATTTGGGAGGACTTGTCACGCAACAGTCTGGAGGTTCCTTTCGATATTCCTCTAGTGCGCGACATGGACATGCTCGACATCGCGGCGGAATATACCTAGAGGGCCGAGCAATATTCATCGGGAGGACGTGATCCAGGAGGAGATACACCGCCGCAAGGAGATGGGGCAGAAGGTCCGGCACCGAGAGGGCCTCCCCAATCCAATGGGCTAGACAATCCGCCTCCAGCAGCTACGCCTCCCAACAAGTCCAAGGAGTCAGCCTGCGAGAGCAGCTGACCGTGCACCTCGGGAACCTAGCGCCCCGCAACGACAACGTGCACGACAGAAGTTCAAGCGGAAGACCCCGGCGTCTCAGACAGTCTGCGCGGAGCGCGCACACATCGGGCGCAACATTGCCGCGACCGCCACGGACAAGCGCGCTCGTGCAGCGCATGCTACCAACCAGGTGCTGTGCGAGGCCTTTCCTGCCGAATGAGCCGATCGGGTGACCATGGCGGAGATCAACGTCACGGAGGTGTTCACTAATGACGACGGATTCAGTCAGGAGCGCGCGGAGAAGACCCTCAACGCGCTTGTCAAGGAGTGGAGTACCTGGTCCAAGTACGACGCAGTCACGGCCATCGCACCGACGATGGCCAAGAATATCGACAAGGCGTTGCATATCGAGAGTCGTGCCGCACGGACGGACAAGGGCAGCGACTACGACGCCAACTTCCAGCTCAAGCGCTGGATCGTCGGCAAAGGCTTCCAGGAAAAGTACGACGAGAAGTTGCGCAGCGACTCCCCGAGTCGCTCGCCATCAGAACCTGCTTTGCAGCATTGCAGCATGCAAGCGTCTTCATGCTTTACTGGCGACGCTGCTGGCGCGTTTCTACAAGGAGTCAAGATCGAGATGGAGCTGTACTTCATGTTGCCCGAGAACCTACCGGGCACGGGCATGCCTGGACTCGAGGGGGGGGGGGGGGCCTACTCAAGCCCAACAGGAGCATCTACGGGGCCAACGACGCGGCATGGGCGCGGTGCATGCGTATCGTCCCGATCCTGTTCTCGTTTGGCTCCGAGCAGCTGCAGTTCGAGACGGCCGCGTTCAGACTCATACATCGTGGCATGTTGGTGGGTCTCTTGTGCTTACACATCGACGATATGCTCATCGCTTTCGACATGGAGAACAACCGCGAGCTTTGCAGCAGCACCATCAAGAAGCTGAAGGAGCAGGTAGAGTTCTGTGCAGAGCACACCAGAAGGAGCGGCATGTACGGGCCGACGCTTCAAGCAGGACCATGACTATGTAATATCGATCGACATCGGTGAGTACATCGACGGCATGACCGACTACCGAATGGCCCTTGAGAGGTTTAGGCGGGAGAAGGAGAAGTTCACCGCAGCTGAACACCGAGCGTTAGGAGGCATGAATGGACAGGTTCAGTGGGTGGTACGGCTTTTGCTTCACAAGTACAGCTTCGAGGCATCCAGGCTGGCAGGCCAGCTGACTCAACCGACGGTGCAGGACATGAAGGACATGAACAAGCTTGTTCGTTCTATCCGCCGCGAGGGGGAGATGGTGATGATGTTTCGTGGAGGTTTTGAATTCGAGAAGTCCGTGGCCATCGCCCCGCGCGACGCCTCATTCGACAACGTGCCGAACCACGAGAGCCAGCGCGGATTTTACATCATTGTTGGAGATGGCGACATGACGGAGGACCACACCAAGCTCTACCCATGCATATTTTTATCCTGGTCAAGCGGACGTATCGGACGTGCTGTACGGAGTGCCCTATCAGCGGAGGGCTACAGTTGTTCGGAAGCTCAAGATATGACGTTCTGGGCTCGCGCAGCGTGCGCATGCATTTTTTTCCCAACAAGCTCGGCCATGAGTACCGTTATGCAGCTGAATATTGGCAAGGTGTTTTGGTTACCGGCTCTCGTTCTCTATGGGATTGCACGGTCAAGGAGCGCGTCCACTTATCCGACCGGAGGCTTTCGCTCGAGGCCGCCATTATCAGGCAGGAGTGCCAGCGTGGAGGTATCAAGCGGGCATGGCCAGAACAACAGCTAGCCGACGGGCTCGCCGAGAAGATGGATACACCCTGCCAAGACCGAGTCTTTCATGAGGACCTCTGGTATTTCGGACCAGATCCCCGTACACCTCCTTTCCGGAAGCGCCAGCTCACCGACCTGCGGGAGGAGCTACATCGATCCCAACGGGTGGAGCTACAGGAGGACGCAGACACTCTCAACGCCAACTACGCACGCCCAACAGATCACAGCGCCATGGACGACATTAAGCAGGATTGACGTACACGAGGTCGCGCATACAGCTGAAGTGAGTTCCGCAGTGAGTTTCGCGTCGTCGCGCGCGATGCGTGCAGCGTTGTTTTCAGGCGTACTGGCAAGCAGCTGTTCATCGGGATCAGCTCTCCCGTTCTTTGCAGCAGGCACTGCAGCGAATGCAGCGCGTGACCCATCGATGCATCGACAAGCTTCACGCGCCCAGGTGGAGCCGTTCGATTAGTGGTCGCAGTTTTTGCTTTCGCCGTCCGGAGTGCTTGCTCTTGGAGTTTCCATCGGGGCGCTGCTCATGGCCGCGTTTCGTTTTTTGTTTCAATGTCTGTCCAAGGGGCAGGGGGCTAAGCAGATAATTCAGCATGTGCCGGAGGCTACTGCATGCAGTGCCGCCGAGGGACGCCCGCGCGCCGCCGGATTCGACTTCAACAAGCCACCGGACACACATACGACGCCTCGCTCCAGCATCGCCATATTGGCGGGCATCGCGGGGCCATCCGCCATCGACAAGATGAAGACCGACGACTTGCGAGGCGGACGCCTGCAGACAGCGAGAGGAAGCTAAACGCCATGCCGAACTACGCATTGCAAGGGATTCTGCGCGAGTTGAAGCTCCCGGTGTCAGGCATCAAGGTGGACCTTGTGGCGAGGATCGTCAATCATTACAACCGTGGTTGGGACTTGTCTCGTTTTAACGTGAGCACGCGGCAGTGTTTCTTCGACAGGTGCTGGAGCACCAATGCTGAATGCAGGTTCAGACAGCGCACTGTCTCTTACAGTGTAAGGCTCTTCATGCAAGCTGCTGATCCCCAGTTTCTGAGCTGCAAAAAGTATACTATGTGTGAAGATGAGCAGGTATTGTGCTCAGCTCGAAGCGCAGTAGATCAAACAGTTTTGATATTTTTCAATTCACTAGGTGTTCGAGGATTTGTTAACACAACATAACATCACAAGTTGTGTGCCGCTGCCTTTTGTGCTCTAATCATATCAGGGGATCCATTTTTGAGATATCAGCAGATAACAAGTTATCAGATGTGCTCCAGTCGTTGCCTGGGGTTTCCCTGATTTCAGACTGCTGTGTGTGATTGATCGCGTGGCGACCACTGTCATAACGCTCGACGTCGCGGAGCTTGCAGCGATGAATGACATCGTGCGCCCATTATCGTTGACACTTGGGACCGTCTCAGGGCCCTCTTGGGTTGCCTTGGGCACCTCTTGGACCGTCCTGGGGCCCTCTCGGGCCGTCCCAGGGCCGTCTTGGGGGCCTTTTGAGCCGTCTTGGGGCGATCTTGGGGGCCTCTCAGGCCGTCTTGGAACGTCGGGAAGCCGAAAAGGCGAGAGGCCAAACACTTTCCAAAACTACAGGAAAAACAATGGTTTTTGCTTATTGGGGCCCTCTCGGGAGGCCTCTTGGGGCGTCTTGGAGGCTTCTTGGGCCGTCTGGAGGCCATCTTAGGCGTTTTGGAGCGATCATTCGGCTATTCTGGGCCCTCTTGGAGCGTCTTGGGGGTCTCTTGGGGCTCTCTTGGCCCGTATTGGGGGGGGCTTTTTGGAAGCTCTGGGGGCCCCCAGGGTGCGTTGGGGAGCTCGTCCCTCCACCCCCCCGCCCTCCCCTGGCCCCCCCTCTAATCGGATTTTTGGACCCCTGGGGAGGGGGAAAGGGGGAGGGGGACAGCCAAATGTTTCACACGCCTTTTCACCTCCGGCAAGCGGGGGTCGGCGGACTACCTTTTATGTTAAAATCGACGCTCTCGCTGCAGACATCCTCAGAAAAGTATGAGGAACACGGCAGACCAACGCAGCTGCATGTTTCGACGTCGTTTCCAACAGTTGCCATTTCGCCAGGGACATCCTCAACATTTCAAAAGTTCCCAGCATCTGAATGGTATCGTTTTCTAAGTGCCTCAAGGCAGAGAAACAATATCCCAAAAAGGACCCCAAGATGGCTCCAATAACGCCCTCAAGACTGCCGAAAATTACGATTCGCTTGGGATAACTTCAAAGCATGAAGCACATCTGACATCGCCCTTCAAGAAATGCGTGCTTAACATCGTGTTGGAATCGCTCTCAAACTGCTTCAGGATAGCCCCAAAGAGCCTTCCGATAACGACGGTTTCGCTAGGGACATCCTCAAACATGATATCTTCCTAGCGTAATATTCCAACCATGTCGTGATAGCTTCAATACTTCCCAAAAGAGCCCCACATGGGCCCCAGGATGACCCCACGAGCGCCCTCAAGACGACAAAAAAATACGATTTCGCTAGGGGCATCCTCATCAAACTAATACTTTACCAGCATCGCTTTTCCAAACACGAACGTTTCACCTGATACATACTCCCCAAATGGGGATGTAGGAGGATCTGCCATCCGACGATGTTCCTTAAAAGCGAGGCTCTCTCTCTCTCTCTTTCTCTCTCTTTCTCTCTCTGCAGACATCCTCGCGAACATGCAACGTTGAAGTCTATTCCGAATTCTTGGCTTCTTCGAAATGTAGCTGCCGCTGCAAACATCATCAAACATGCAAGTTTTCGGTACCATCCCAATACATATGAAGCTCGTGTTGGTCTGCTGTCCTCGTGTGGTCTGCCGTGCTGGTCAGCCGTGCTCCTCTGGTCTGCCGCGTTGGTCTGTAGAGCTATTGTGGTCTGCCGTGTTGCTGTGGTGTCCCGTGTTGGTTTGCCGTGCTCCTGTGTTACCGTGCTCCTGTCGACTGCCGTGCTCCTGTGGTCTGTCGTGTTGGTCTGCCGTGCTCCTATAGACTGTCGTTTTGGTCCGCCGTGCTCCTGTGGTCTGCCATGATGGTCTGCCGTGCTCCTGTGGTCCGCTGTGCTGGTCTGCTGTGCTCCTTCTCGTTCTGCCGTGCTGGTCATCCGTTCACTTGTGGTCTGCCGTGCTGGTCTGCCGTTCTGCTGTGGTCTGCCGTGCTCGTCTGCCGTACTGCTGCGTTGTTGGTCTACGTTTCTGAGTTTCTGTGACGTCCTCAGCAGGACATTCTCTGGCAGGCTTCGTTGACAAAGCGGCGATCCCCGTTCTTGTCCGGTCAGGTTTCTGAAAAATTGCCGTTTCGCTAGGGGGCATTCTCAAAAAATCGGTTCCGGAAGGGGCTCTGAGCCAACATCATCGTGGAATCGCTCCCGGAGGGTTCCAAGATGGCCCGAAGGAGTACCCAAAGGCTCCCCGGAGGACCCCCAAAGCGCCCCAAGGGGCACCCAAGAGGCCCCCAAGAGGCGCCCAGAGGCCCCCAAGAGCGCCGGACGAGGCTCCCATACTGCCCAAGAAAGCCCCAAAACGGCCCAAGAGGGCGCCAAGATGGCCCAAGAGAGCCCGCGCATACCCTCGAGACGCGCCCAGACAGCCCAAGAGGGCCCAAGAAGCCCCCAAGAGGCTCCCCGAAGGCTCCCAACAGGCCCTCGAAAAGGCTCCCAAGAGGGCCCCAAAGGGCCCAAGTGAGCTCCAAGAGCCCTCGACGGCCCACGAGGTCCATCATGCGCCCAGGGCGGCACACTAGCTCGACAGACCAGCAAGGCAGACCAGCACAATGAACCGACATTTAGTACATGTCTTGGTCTGAGGTGTTACGTTTCTGAGTTTCTTTGACGTTCTCAACCATACATCCTCTGACAAGCTTGCTCGATAAAGCGGCGCTTCCCGTTCTTGTCCGGTCAGGTTCTTGAGCTCCCGTTGGTGCAATCGAGTACCCTCGAGGGCCGGGGGATTCAAAGCGTCGGTTCGAAATGCCCCTCGTGGTCTTGGGGCCCTCTTGGGAGTTTCTTGGGCCGTCCTGGAGTTCTCTTTGGGGCCTCCAGGGCAGCGTTGGACGCTGTTAAGAGCAAAGAAGCGAATACGCAAAGCATGTACGTTTTCCCAGCGTATTGGGACGGTTTTTGCTTCTTGGGACTTTTTCTGGGGTCGTCTCGGAGCCCTCTTGGGCCGTCTGGAGGCCATCTTTGGTGTTTTTGAGGCCTCCTCGACGTGTTGGAGCCCAGCTCCAGCTTCAATGGCATGGTGGACATCTTGGAGGCCGCGGAGTGCAGATTTGGGGGCTCTGGGGGCCCCGGGCATGCGCCGGGGAGTTCGTGCCCCAACCCCCGGGGAGCTCGTGCCCCCCCCCTGCCTGAACGGTGATTTTGGGCCCTGGGGAGGGGGGAGGGGGAAAGGGGAAGTGGGACAGCCAACTGTCTCGCACGCCTTGTCACCTCTGGCAAGCGGGGGCCGGCGGATCCGCATGATGATCGGTTGCGCGGGGGCCACGTTCGTCACAAATCAGTTCTGGTGCTCCCTCATGTTCGCCCCGAACGTGGTGGGCACCGCCAACGCGACCGCAGCGGGGTGGGGCAACCTCGGCGGCGGCGTCACACAGATTTTCATCGTGTGGTGCCTGTTCAAGCCCTTCCAGGAGATGGGCGCGAGCTCTGACACGGCCTGGCGCCTGTCCATGGTCGTCCCCGGTTGCGTCTTCGTCGCGGTTGCCATCAGCATGAAGCTGTTTTGCTGGGACATGCCAACGGGGCCCCGCTTCAAGACCAGCGACACGGGCAAGACATCAAACGCGTCGATGTGGGACTACGTGGAGTGCTTGAAGGACCCCAGGATCGTCATTATGATCTTCCAGTACGGCGCCTGCTTTGGCACGGAGCTGGTCATGAACGCGCAGCTGGCCACCCATTTCCGCGTCTACTTCCAGATGGAGGCCGGCGCTGCCTCTGCCCTGGCAGGCTCCTTCGGCCTGATGAACTTGTTCGCGCGCTCATTGGGCGGCATCTTCAGCGATTTTCTTTTCGCCAGATTCGGTTTCTCTGGCCGTATTTGGGCTCAGTTCCTCTGCCTTTTCCTCGAGGGCATCTTCCTGCTCGGCTTCGGATCTGTGGAGAACTCGCAGCCATGGTACGTCGCCCTGGCCGTCTTGCTGTGTTTCTCTCTCTTCGTGCAGATGACCGAGGGCACCAGTTACGGCATCGTGCCGTTCATGAACCCGAAGCAGCTCGCGTGCACATCCGCGCTGGTGGGGGCGGGCGGGAACTTGGGCGCCGTGATCGCCCTGTGGTGTTTCTACAACACCCTTGGGCCCATCGACACCCTGCTCCCGTTCAAGGTCCACGGTGCCTACGTGATCTTTTGGGCGATGACCTCTCCGGCGTTCTACTGGGCCGACAAGGGCGGCATGTTCTGCGGCGCCAGTGACCCCGCCTTCCAGAAACCCGCGCCCAAGGAACCAACAGTGGCTTAGATCCAACTCGAGGGCCAGCCAGAGCGGCGAGAGAGAATCACAGCGCAGCCGCTTCTGCTAGATTTCTCCGTTGGGGGACAGTTGGGTGCCTGATGGAGTCTCGTACTTTTGCTGTCTCCGGGCGGCCTCGGGGGCCAAGGAGGGGGCCATTCCGGTGGCCGAGGAGGAAATCAACATTTGAGCGTCTGTAGAGGGCGAGCAGATGCCCCGAAGCGATGCTGGTCTGGAGCTCAGCACCGTGACTTTGTGGCGTTCCTGCGTCATGAGAGCCTCCGTAGAGGGCGGCCAGATGCCCCGAAGTGATGCTGGAGCGAAGCCCAGCACCGTGACTTTGTGACGCCCGACGTCTTCCTTCCCTCTTCCATGCCTCCCAAGAGTGCCCTACCCTCCCCTCCCCCGTCTGGTTTCCAATCATTTGCCGGCGTGAAGTGCGTGTCTGAAGGCCGTCTCATGCAACGGCAGAGCAATTTGTGTGTACGTTTTGCGGCCGCACTTGCGCGGCGGGAGGCAAGTTAAGCAAATATTGCTTGCTGTTTGGTTCAGAGCGAGGGTGCGAGCTTGAAGGCCGTCTCTCAGCCCGCGTGCCATCCTGGCCCGCTAATCGGAGAAGGAGGACCATCGGAGGGGAGAGAAAATATCGCTGGTTCGGGGTGCCCACGTCACCAACCCCGACCAAGGATACCCCCCCATTGGAAAGCACACACAGATGAAAGTGGCTGCTTGGTACGCCTTGCCTCATCATCCGCCTCCTCTGCCTCTCTCCGCTTCGTCCTCCCTCCCCCTTCTCGCACCTCGTCTCTCCTCCCCCTACCCTCCCTCCTCCCTCCTCTCTCGTCCCTTGTCCCTTCTCCATCCTCGCTCCTCCTCCTCCTCCCCCCCCTCCTCCTCTTCCTCCTCTCTGTGACGACGACCGACGACGGCGGCGACCGACGACCGACGACCGACGACCGACGACGACCGACGACCGACGACCGACGACCGACGGCCGACGACCGACGGCCGACGGCCGACGACCGACGACGACCGACGACCGACGACCGACGACCGACGACCGACGACCGACGACGACCGACGACCGACGACCGACGACCGACGACGACCGACGACCGACGACCGACGACGAACGACGACGACGACGACGACGACGACGACGACGACGACGACGACGACGACGACGACGACGACGACGACTGACGACGACCTCGGTCCTCGATCCTTGAACCTCGATCCGTCCTCCGAGACCTCGGCCGATCTCGCCGGCGCTCGGGCGGCGCGAGGCCCCCTTGCTGCTCTCTGAGCTCGTCGGCCCGCTGGGAGGCCTGCCCAGGGATCGGCCGGGAGGCGCCCTCGCGGCGCTCCCGCCGAGCGTTGTCCCCCAGGAGGGCGGAGGAGGAGTGCGGAGGAGGAGGAGGGCGGAGGTAGCAGCAGGAGGGAGGGGATGGAGGGCGAAGCAAGAGGAGGAGGAGGGCGGAGGAGGGCGTAGGAGGGCGGAGGAGAGCGGAGGAGGACGGAGGAGGGCGGAAGAGGGCGGAGGAGGGCGGAGGGACCACCTCACCGGACGGTCTGGCGGCTCGACAGAAGTCGAGGCGGCCG